TCCGTTGCGTGTCGCTTCGCGTTGAATTTTCGTCGATGTTAAGCCTAATAAAGACTATTGTATCGTTAAAAATTATTTTTTTATTTTGTACAAACAAAATAAATATATTGAAAAGTATAAAAATAATAAAAAATTATACTTCAGATGTTAATTTAGTATCAAAAACGTAAAATATTTGAGTAGCCCAAGACATAGCCAAAGATTGAAGCACCATAGCACTGGCGAAAATTTAAATTTGCCGACTGGAATTCTTTCGGATGGTTGACGTTTCGGATGATTGACTTTCGGATAATCGACGCTCTACTGTATATGAAATTTATATATACCTTTAAATAGGCTTTTATTAATACAGTGAAACCTGTGTAAACCGAGCTCGTACCGTACCGAATATCGTTTCGTGTTTGACAGGTTTCCGTTATAAACAGGGTTATTTTTAACATAGAAACCTGCCAAACCGAAAAGGAAATTCCTGTTTACACAGGTTTAACTGAACGAAATATTAGAGAAAAATATATATATAATTTTCTATTCATAAATGTAAGAATAATTTTTTTTTTCGAGGAGTGCGTGCGAGTGTCTGAGCGTTTGGACAGCTTTAATAAACAGAAAACACATCAAACAATAAAATAGTGACAATAAAGACGATAAAAACACTAGCACCGAATCAGTTTTATTTAAAAAAACGTGAATGAAAGCACGTCCACCCCTCGATTATACGTCACACAACAAATTTGAAAAGCGAATTTCTCGGAAAGTTTTCGTCATTTTTCACTTGTATTAATTATACAAATTAATAAGTATAAAATACATAAAGATATTTATAATATAATAAGATTATAACAAGATATACGAAGGATGAGTTTCTATTTATTACGTCCTATTAGATTGATTGTCATTAATTAAATCGCATGATTAAACGTAATCTTATCATAAAACTTTTAATGAATGTACTTAAATTTCTGTGTACACTTAAGAAATTCATCTCTCTAATGGATATTATACATAACTTATGGTCACAGACTACATGCAGGGTATTATATAAGTAACGGAGCAATGCAGATATAATAGAATTCCTCGTGTTAAAAATAGAGAATAGAATATTATACTTATTCTCGTCGTACTTAAAATTCGTAAAGCGAATCAATGATGAATTCGTTCACAATTAACGAAATCTGCATTCATTGCTTCTTAAGACCGTGCTGGGTAAATGCGATGATCTATGGTGTGGATCCTTTCGAACCGTGCAACTGCCGAAATAACCAGTTTTCACCTTTAATTAAAAGGAAATATATGAAGAAATACATTCGATTTTTGGAATTGATTTACTGGAATGAAGCATTATTATTATGGTGGCAGGCTATTCCGGGTTGGAATAAAAATTCAATTTGCATTGGATGGTACGATTTAATTAAAAACAATACTCTTCTGTTGAAGGTAACACTCGCGGGCTTACAATGCTGCTTTGCTTTTTCATTCAGTTTCTTCAAAAACAGAAAAGCCACTCAGTACAGTAGAAGCCATTCTTTCGGCTAAGCCTTAATGCTCTCTCCCCGCGGGGGAATTTCGAAAAACCCTTCTTAGTGTGCGTTTCCATGACGTACCCTAACTGTCTACTAAATTTCACCTTTGTAGGTTAAGCGGTTTGCTCTGGGCGATGATGAATCAGTGAGTCATTCAGTCAGTCAGTCAGGACAAGCAATTTTATATATTTAGATTCGTTTTGAGCAGGTTTTACTGTATTCAATGATAACACTATCAAACCTGTAGACAACGGCCACCGAAAAACTGCCGTTGTTCGGAGGTTATTTTGCATGCATTCCTGTTAAACAATGCTTTTAAAATAATATTTTCTTTAGTTGTTACTTTCTTCAGAAACTTTGTTAAAATTTATGAAAAAAATGGCCGCTATTTACAGATAGTCGTCATTAGAAGTTTACCTGTATTATATTCATTATATTTGAATTAATAAAAATATATAAAATTTATATATATCTAAATAGGCTTTTATTATTACAGTGGAACCTGTGTAAACCGAGCTCGTAACGTACCGAATATCATTTCGTGTTTGACAGGTTTCCGTTATAAACAGAGTTATTTTTAACATAGAAACCTGCCAAACCAAGAAATATATTCCTGTTTACACAGATTTTACTGAATGAAAAATTAGAGAAATATTTAGGCCTATATATTATTTTCTATTCACAAATGTCAGAAGAATTTTTTTTCGAGGAGTGCGTGTGAGTGTCTGAGCGTTTGGACATATCAAACAATAAAACAGGTTGTTGTAGTGACAACGAAGACGATAAAAACATTAGCATCGAATCACTTATTTAAAAAAAACGTGAATAAAAGCAAGTCTACCCTCGATTTTACGTCACACAACAAATTTCAAAGGCGAATTTCTCGGAAAGTTTTCGTTATTTTTCACTTGTATTAATTATACAAATTAATAAGTATATCATGCATAAAGATATTTATAATATAATAAGACTACCCCGTCCAAAAAATGGAATTATTGTAAAGGCAACTGTTATTTAAAAAAACGTGAATAAAAGCATGTCTCTTCTCGATTTTACGTCATACAACAAATTTCAAAGGCGAATTTCTCGGAAAGTTTTCGTTATTTTTCACTTGTATTAATTATACAAATTAATAAGTATATAATACATAAAGATATTTATAATATAATAAAATTATAACAACTTATACGAAGGATGAGTTTCTATTTATTACGTCCTATTAGACTTTATTGATTGTCATTAAATCGCGTGATTAAACATAATCTTATTATAAAACTTTTAATGAATGTACTGTACTTAAATTGCTGTGTACACTAAGAAAATTCATCTCTCTAATGGATATTATACGTAATTTATGGTCACAGACTACATGCAGGGTATTATATAAGTAACGGAGCAATGCAGATATAATAGAATTCCTCGTGTTAAAATAGAGAATAGAATATTATACTTATTCTCGTCGTACTTAAAATTCGTAAAGCGAATCGATGATGAATTCGTTGGCAATGAACAAAGTCTGTATGTATTGCTTCTTAAGACCGTTCTGTGTAAATGCGATGATGTATGGTGTGGATCCTTTCGAACCGTGCAACTGCCGAAATAATCAGTTTTCACCTGTAATTAAAAGAAAATATATGATGAAATACATTCGATTTTTGGAATTGATTTACTGGAATGATGCATTCCTAATGTGGTGGTAGATTATTCCGGGTTGGAATAAAAATGCAATTTGCATTGGATGGTTCGATTTAATTAAAAACAACACTCTTCTGATGAAGGTAACACTCGCGTGCTTACAATGCTGCTTTGCTTTTACATTCAGTTTCTTCAAAAACAGAAAAATCACTCTAATAAAGACATTAAGAAACGTGGATCTTGTGGAGTAGATAAACCGAGCGAATATCTTCATCAATATCATTTGTCTGCTCTTTTCTTTTGGAATTATTTTCGCCGTGTTTTGCTTTCAGATTTACAATGTAGCATTTATGTACCCAGAGTTAGAAAAAAATGAAAAGTTTTACGGAGAAGCTCTGATTTGTTCAGTCGAAAGTGGATTTTCTGCTGCTTTCAGATTTGGCGCCATGGGTTACGCTATACTGTTAGTAGGAGTATTATTAGTTCTTACCGAAATGGAATTCAAACAATTGATACAAGATTTTTCTCTTGTGAGAAGAGGCGAGAGAAATTTCTGTTTCAATTTGAGAAATTTGATGATTCGTCACGAAGAACTGTGGAATTTCGTCAGTCAACTTAATACTAAATTTAGTTATCCTAGTGTAGTTATTTATCTCGGTCTTATATGTTCAACCAGTTTTTCTTATTATGCATTCTCATTTATAGATGTAAATGATGCAATTAGATTAGGATTTCTAATAATAGTTGTCTTCTTCACCTTCACTTGTATTATTGGAGCTTGTTTGTTGTGCAGTTTTGCTTTCTCGGTAAAGAATTTGCTTTCTCTCATAACACGAAATGACGTTAATAGAAATCTTTTATTATTATTTTCAATACTTTTTTATTTTTCAGATGCAAAATGGCTTTCAAGATGTCCGACAATTTGCTGTCAGCAATTTACATTTTGAAGAAAAGTTAAAAGTCTCTATTTTCGTCTATTAATAAACCATTTTAAATAATTATACATAATTTAATTAATTAGTAAATTCTTTATTGTTTACTTCTATTTGTAGATCTTAAATTTCATGAAAAGGTTTGGGAAAGTGTCGTTGTGTTTCATGATCGGTGGTATTTATCCAGTTACGAAAAGAATTCCTTTCAAAGTTTGTATTTGTTTACAGTAATACCAAATATGTTTACAATGCAAAATATTTTTAAGCACGATTTGAATAGTTTTATATATTTATAATTAATACACATTAAATTATACATATATTTTATGCCGATCTCACATACACAAGTCCCCACAGGCAATGTATATAATTCATTTAATTCAGACATTCTGTGAGAAAACGTTACTCGAAGGTCTATTTACCATAATTTTCAAGGGAACAGATAATGCCTTACAACGTCAATCCAAAACTGCAAAAAGTTTGCAAAATTGTATCCGGCAATGTCTTTTTATAAATAACAAACTATTATTTAGGCATGCAAAATGCTTAAAACAGTGATTACTAATCATTAATCGATAAACTGTACTATATAATTAATATGGTTGTTAACAAAACAGTTGTTTTGTATACAATAATTTATATAATCTGACAATTTGCAAACCAATCTCCTAAACACATAACGCTATAAAAAGCTTGCACGCAGTGGTGAATAAAATCTCCGATCAGTAATAGCATTTCGTAGGTTCTGCCTCACCAATAGGGTGGTCCTGCAGACTTTTCGGAGTTTTCTTCACGTTTTTAAAAAGCACTCGGGATTCTGTTAGGGGAACCTTAATGGATACGCTGTGGTCCAGCACACCGTTTGGAGAAAGATACCGATTACTCTTTAAAAATATACTGGGAGAACGTGAAAGAAATTTAAAACGTTCCGAATCGCTTTGCC